GTACTACGGTACAGTGGCGGGATGCCGGCACGCGAGGCCTCGCGCAGCTTCGCGGGGTTCACCGACACCTCCGCGTCGAGGAGCTCCTCGAAGATGCGGGCGCTCCCGTCCACCACATCCTCACGTCCCGCCACTGCTGGTTGTTGCTGTTGTTGAGCGGGATGCGCCAAATCCACAGCGGCATCTTGTGCGGCGTCGTCAGCCATCAATGTGCAAGCGCAATATAAACCCACGCACCCACAAAAGAGGGATAAAAACAATTCAGTGGAGTGGCGTGCTGGGGGATCGCACCGCTGCTGCTGCTGCTGCTTCTGCTACTACAAGCGCAAGAGCCTGTGCAAGGGTGTTGGATAACCCTTTTACAGCCCTTCCGCCACCCTCTGAAATGCATTACGAAGTGAAGAGCGAGCAACGCAGAAAGAACTACAAACAAAAACAAACATAGAAGGAGGGAATCCAACAAAGAGGTTATCTACTACTGCCACCGGTTACCATCTCATGTGTGCGTTCAGCGCAGACCCTACAAGCGGTCGGGACGGCATGACGTCGGATCGGGCCAACAGGAACACATAAATAAATGTGAAGCGCATCGCACGCGATGGGCGCACTGTCTTATCATTACCCCCCACACACCCACACCACACCACCCCTTTCCATACGAACGGGTTGCTTGGCCGGTGCTGGAGAGACATGGGAGGAAACAGAATCTCCGCACAGATTCATCTTGCATCATTCCCTCTGCTTCTTCACCCATCTGTTATCGCTGTTCTCGTTGCCCTCTCACTTCCCGTTTCTCTCACAAACGTTAATGCGCCTTTTTTTTTCGTATGTGTCTGTGCGCCCTATCGCGTTGCTCTCTACCTCATCTTCCGCTCCCGCATTTTCCCTTTTAACTGCGCTATTGTCATCTCTCATTCAATCTCTCAATTACTCCTCTCTCTCTCTCCCTCTTTTCCCCGTCTTCGTAGTGTTTGCCCCCCCACCACGTTATGCCTTACCGTGGCGCTCGTTGTACTCGCGCCTAAACTCGTTGCTGGGCAGCATCCACACCACCTGCTTCACGCCCTGCGCCGACTCCTCCTGGAATAGTTTGCGCGCCTCCTCCACCGTCAGTGCTGGATCCTTCTGGAACGCCGCGTCGGCACCGTGGAGGTGATCGGCAAGGATCTGCTTCTCCTGCGCCGACGCGAGCATGCACAGTGCGGAGAGAATGATACCGGTGGTGTAGACGGGCCACAGGCGCTCGCACACCCAGCCCCACGCAGCGGTGGCGGCGGTGAGCGAGGCGCGATACGCCTTCAGGACGTGGTACCGCTCCGCAAAGTCACTAAATCTCTCCGACATGGCCAGATGATTGTATATCTCGTGGGATCTCTGTGAGTTGTTTTGTTTTTGCTTCTAGCTCTCTCTCTCTCTCTCTCTCTTTGTGTCTGTGAGTGTGTGTGCCCTGCTGGCGCTGTTACACTAACGCAAGCGACAACCAACCAAACAAAGAAGAAACAAAAGTCCACAGCACACCCCCACACCACCAAAACACACAACCCAGCAGGCACCACCGTGTCAGGGACGTCTGTGAGAGCACAAGTAGAGGCAGCGGACAACAAAACAACAACAACAACAACAACACGGGACCAGCTGCAGCAGCCGTGCGCCGCACACACTCCTCTCATCTGCCGCTTCTAACACGTGTAGAAGTCAACGACAATGAAACGTTCCTTCGCGTAAAACACCCCGAAGCCGCGTGCTCGACTCACAGATGCCCGCAGGTGCTTCGTGGCAATGCCCTTGACCTCCAAAATGCTGTGCTTGAGGTTTTGCTGTTGTTCTTCTTGCTGCTCTCCCTCCTCCGGCTGCTGCTCCTGCTCCTCCGTTGCCGCAGAATCCCTGTCTTCGTCTTCCGCCTGAAGCTCAACAGCGCCGGTCTCGCTCACCAGCGCCATCACCAGCGCGTTGTCAGATGCCGCGACGGCCCGTTCCCACAGCAGTACGGAGTGCCCCTCATCGTCCACTATACCGCACCACAAGAGTCTGGCGCTCCCTGCGCTGAACTGCAACGGCTCCATCTCAACAGCGACGAATTTCTGTTGTGGTACGAAGAAGAAATCTGTTTCGCTGCGGGTCTCTAGTGCATAGAACGCCATGAGAGGTTTACTGGGCACCGCCTCCTGCGTGAGCGTCACAGCGTGTAACTGTACCCCATCCGCCACCGACGCACTCCCACCTCCGGTTGTTGCGTCCACGACGAGCACCTCGCAGTGCCGCTGCAGAACTTCCTCCGCGCCCACGTCATTGAGAAGCGGGACAATGTGTCCAGCCATCTCGCGGCCGCCCAGCAGGCATGCCTTGACGATGTGTGACAACTCCTCTTCTTCCTCATCTTCCTCCTGCGCACTGCTCTCATCAACGAGTGGCAGCGTCGTCGACTCGCCGCGGCCGACACGGTGAAGCGTGCGCAGAAGCGACGGGTGCCGCACCGCCCGCAGCGGTGGGCGCGACGCGAACGCATTCCCGCTAACCGTGTCGGTGAGCAGCGCGGCCCGCTGCGCCACCCACTGTACCAGCTCGCGCTCACGATCGGCCTCGAGCCGCATCTGCCGCAGGAAGTTGCTGCACCGCTGCCGCAGGCCTCCAATGACGTCCATCAGGAGGCACTGACGCTGGCGGTCACCGGACTGCGCTAGCGACATGTTGAGAGCAACGTCGTAGCAGCGGTACGCCACATTAGAGACCTGCAGGACCAGCTGCGTGAACTGCCGCGTCAGCTCCTCCGAGTCTTTCGTCAGCGCAGCCAAGTCAAGGGACCTGAAGTACGCCAGCAACTCGTTATTTGAGGGCTGCGCTACGTCCTCCACAACCGCATTGCGCAACAGCAGCGCATTCTGCGGCAGTAGTAAGTCTTTCCGCACCGTCTGGAGGAGGTGCCTCCACCGCCGGCGCGCGTCCCGGTAGGAGACTCTACCCATGCGGCAGTACTCCGCGATACAGCAGATGGCGACTGTCTCGCGGCCCGCTACCCGCATAACGGTATCGGCGAGAGGAATCCGTGCCACCAGCGAGGACAGCGACGTCTTCGCTGCCGCATTGTCCTCCACCACCAGGTAGGCTGCGTGTGATGTCGCACCACAGCCCCCACCCACGTTATTGTTGTTGTTGTTACTGTTGCTGAATTCCCTGCTGTTGTAGCTGGAGCTGCTGTCGCCCTTCTCTGCAGGAGGTGGAGCCGTCACAACAAATGTCTCGACGCGCATGCGCCGCGGCTCCAACGCCCAGGGCAGCTTCACAACGGCGACGCAGACCTCTTGCAAGCCGCCCGGCAGAAAACAGAGACCTCCGTTTTGATCCAGAAGCAGCATCACGGGCGTGTCGCCGTCGTGCTCCACCTCCTCGAGGATCGGTGAAGACACCGTGGCGCGCAACGGTAGGCACAACTCCTTGTGGCTGTTCAGCGCAGCTGAGTGTGGCGCGACGGAGGTCCATGTGCACGCCACGATCGCCCCGTCCACGGAGATGGGCAGAACGGGTGGCTGGCGCAGCGGACCCACCCCAACATCACCGTCAGTGGATCCACCGCCACCACCAACAGCGGCAGGAGCATCGTCCTCATCATCAGCAAACTCATCGGACTGCTGCTGCTGTGCGCGTGAGGCCTCAATGGCTAACGCGATGCCGCTGCGCGGAACGAAGCGCCGCACGAGATCGCCGCTTTCAACGTCGAGGAGGTACAACTCGCCAAGCTGCAGCCCGATCGCGAGGAGCCGCCCAGATGGCGACCAGCACGCTGACACCACCGTCTCGTCCGCCTTGAGCGAAAGCGCGAGTGTCGTGACGACAGTGAGTGTTGTGGAGCGGTACACCACCACCAGCGACCGCGTGACGATGGCGAGCAGGTTCATATTGTGGCACGTTGTCGCAAGCAGGATGGGCTCCGCGGCCGCCTTTGTGTGCAGCACCCTCATCTCTGCCGAGACGACTGCTGCAGCTGCTGCCTTTCACTCCTAAGCTCCTTGCTTCTAGACACACACACACACACACACACACACACACACACGGTTGGAGTGCACAGTACGGTGTACGTATGTGCGCAGAGGGAGAGGAAAACCAAAAAAAAAAAAAAGCAAATGGGGAGACGAAAGGAGCAGACAGCAGCACTGCGCAGCGGCTCGCACAGGGGCACGCACACATGCATGGACTAGCAACGCGATTCATGTACAGGCACCGCTGTCACTTTCTCCAGAGTGTCCAGATACCGGTGCACTCCGGAAGCGTCGTGCGCGCTGCTACCGCCATGCGTTGCGCCATCGCCTCGCCGAAGAAGAAACGGGTGAGGCGCGCCGCCTCGTCCGTGTCGCGGAAGTTGTAGTCGGTGCGCACCCATCGCCGCTCAAAGCCGTAGTGCTCCTCAAGGCGCAGCGCCAGCGTGTTGTTCCGACGCGGCTCCGTCGTGTCAGTGCCGAGGGTCTCGATGATGACAAGCCCCGCCGCGCCTGTTGCATCAAGGAGCCCGATGAGGCGCTCGAGCGTCGCGTCCACGGCGGCGTGCCAGCGGTCCGCGCCCCACTGCGCACGCATCACGTACGACAGCGACCACGCGCACACCACCAGCTGACACGGCGGG